ACAGACAGACAGACAGACAGACAGACAGACAGACAGACAGACAGACAGACAGACAGACAGACAGACAGACAGACAGACAGACAGACAGACAGAGAGACAAGAGAGGCATCTCACCTGTATACCCAGATAAAGAGGGACAGACACTTCACCTGAAGGCCGAGATAATGAGAGACAGAGAGAAAGATAGACAGACAGACAGACAAACAAACAATAAAACCAAGAAAGACATCTCACCTGAAGGCCCAACAACTGATTCTCCTTCTCCAGGTCCTTGAGAACCCGACTCATCTCCTCCAGCTTACGCTCCAGGCTGCGGTTCTTGCTCTCGATGCGACTAGCTTCCTTCTCCCTCATGGCTGCTCTTTCCTCCAGCTCAGAACATTTGTTACGCAGAGAGTTATAGTCTTTCTCAAAATCAACAAGCTGTGCTCGGAATTCAGCACCTGCATCAGGACAACAGTTCAGTAAGAGTTTTACGGCACTTGCCACACAATTAGGTCATATGAGTGCCCAAGATTAGAGGTGTCACTAGAGATTAACACATAAAGAAAAGAAGGGGGAGAGATAAGGATGACGACTGTTGGATAGGAAAGAAAGAGAAAACCACTCCAGAGCACCCCTTAACCACCCACTCAAAATAACAAGAGATGGGAGAGCAAAGTAGAGCAAGTTTGATCGATCACCTACACAAATCTTGACAAGTCCAGTTTGGTTGCAACAAGGAACTGCCAGAAGACATCTATTCAGAGAATTAGTTCCCCTTAAACCATAGAACAGGATCCTGAAAGTACAATATGTGACCCTCATATTTATATCAATATGATGGGTGCAAAAATGTATTTGAGCATTCAAACATCAGTAATATGGTTTCCACAGCTTGTTGTCACTGGTCAAGTATGGAATAGAGCTCCATATAAAAGCAATCTATTATTATTATTATTAAGTGAAATGCAGATTAGTCACTTCATAGACTGATTCTAAATGTTTTTTTACAACAACAAAAAGAAATATCAAAGCGCAGCTGGTGTCAGCTCAAAATACTCACATGACTGCTCATAGTCGAGGATCATCAGCTGCCTCCTCCTCAACCGTTCATCCAAACACAAGCCAATATTACAAATGGTCAAGTCATCAGTTGGGGTGACCAGCTGGTGAAAAGAGAACTTTCTTTTTCACATGTCTACAAGGATAAAAATAAAATGTGCATACTGTGCAGTGCCACGGACAAGATAAACACAAGCAAGCCTTTTTTATCAGTCATACATTTAGACTAGAATCAATATAGCGAGACATTTCATTCTCTTTAGGATGATAACAAAATCAATTATTTAAAAGATCCATGTTCAAAGATCAACATGTACAGATTTAACAATGTGCAGGTCCCAAAGAACAGGAAATGGTCAGAGCAACTAAGAAAACCTGCCTATCTTGGAGCTGGTTGTAGCAGCAGCTAGGTATATAAGTATGCCGGGGGGGGGGAGGATAAAGAGAAATGATTACAGCACCTCTTCAGAGATAGTCAGTAAAGCCACTGACTCCAAAGAAACTGCTCATGACAATAAAAAATTAACAGGACTAAAAGAAAGGTACACAACAAAAATAGACCTGCATGTGAGCCTCAACCAGATTGTCTGAAAATTTTGCGCACCCCCCCCCCCTCCCCAAAGAGCTTTTTTGTCAATTTTGTGGGTGTCATAGGAAGGACTTCTGAGTAACGAGCGACCACCCCAACAAACACAATAAAGAAAGTGACCTAACCCTACCCCTACCCCAAAAAAGAACCTGCAACGGGCCCCATGTAAAAAGGCCAGCACAAGTCCAAAATAAAATTTAAAAATTTTTAATTAAAAACCAAACACAGACCTGCCACTCTATGAAATCTAAAAATCAGGATTTCAGAGTTAAAAAATCAGGATCTGGTGAAAAAAATCGGGATCAATGGCAAATCAGTCACAAGGAGCACTGGGAAATGGGGGGGGGGGGGGTCCCGGTTCCCTTTTATGGGGCAAGCACGCAAGATAAAACTTTCGCAGAAATAAGTTCCCATTGGGCCTCAAAGTAGAGGAAAAAACTGAAAGAGAGCATGTCACATGTACTCGAGTCTGAGCTGGATAGTCATAGACTGGGGGAGCGCAGGTTGCAGAGATGCTGAAACTCTCGTAGTCTTGACAATAGCTTACACTTACACATACATGTAACTCTAATCATCCATGCAAAAGGCGCGCATTTCCATAAAGTAACAATGTTTGACTTCAATCGCATGTGTCAGGAACCCCCCCCAAAAAAAACCCTGCGCCAAGGTTGTTCATTTACTATTATTTCCTTAGGCCTATTCCTTCATCCTCAATTAGTAGCCTACACGTATCACAGCAAGCACTTTAAGCCGAATGGAAAAAAAAATACCCCCACCCACTCCCCCCGGGCGTCCCATACTGGATAAGTCCCGAAAAACACCTCGACAAACGCGACCAGTGTGAATGAACTTTGTTGACCTCGATAACCCGCGGTCCTCGACACACGCGCTACTCACACTAGTCACACGTACGAGGTCATGTGACGTGATGTGAACGAAAGTTTCAAAGTTCCACTTACAGGTCTTGATGATGGGCCCGACTAACCAGAACTCGGATGAAGCTTGCTTAAATTTTAAAGCAAAGGCAGAACAACGAATAGATTATTTTTAGGCCTATGTCATAATTGTTGGAGAATTCTGGGTAAGAAAAGCGAAAGTAGATCTAGAGAGTATCCAAATCGGAGTTAAAAATCGATACTTCTTCGAAATAACGGGCGTAAGTCAACTAGGCCCCTACTGGATCCGGCATTGATGTTTTAGAAAATAGCGTTCTAAGTTTCTGCCGATAAAAAGTCCAAGCGGTGCTTTCAAGCAAAAGATATTGCAGAAATTTTTTCTCTCTAAGAATCGGACGCAACAGACGTAACAACAAAAAATCAGGATAGTGGCGACCAAAATCGGGAGAATCGGGATGCTCGAGATTTGGGGCAAAAAATCGGGATATTCCGATTAAATCGGGATGAGTGGCAGGTCTGCAAACATAATTCCAAACAGCTTCTACATACTGAACTTGCTGGCTTTTGGTCATTCACTTGATTCAAAATTAATGTTACCAGTACACCAAGCGCTCCTTAACTTTTTTAAAAGTAGTATACAAACTTCAGAAAAGGCTATTTTTAGTATGTATTTACCAAAGAGAAAAACTGACCTAAACTTGAAAAAACCCAAACAGAACACTGCATGATTATTGCTTTAAGATTGTAAGAAAAATTAGTTGTTCAGTTAGTGCAAATTCAATGAACACAGTCCAACAGTTGACAAAACACTACTGATAAGTCAGAATAAAGGTATGGGCACAGAAAGGGCTCACTTACGCTGGTGATACATAAGGTACAGGTTGACCAAACGCCATGACCGGTAATGACTCTGTAACTTCAATGTGTTTCACTGTGAAAAAAACATTAACAGTTTTTTAAATATTGATAAGAGTGAGACAGATACTAAACACATAAAAAGCATGAAAAAATGAAATTAGTGGACCTGCGGAGAAAGACAGCGGGCAAGCATATTATAGATAAAACTTTTGTTGTTCCTGAAACAGTACATGAGAGAGCAAAACCAAACTAAAAATTTGAAACAGTTCTGTTCTCTCTTATCCCATTCCCTTTGACAAAATTGGTGAAGGATTTCGTTCATACTGAAAAGCCCAAAAGGGCTTGATACCATTTCAAATTTACATAAAGGTTTGAAATTACATAAATTATTCTTTTTCATTCCTTTCCCTTCTCATTGAAGCACATGCCTACACAAGAATTTCTTTGCAATAAGTAATTCAATTAATCACTTACTAAAAAATACATTTGAAATAACACAACAGAATGTGTACTAAATGCAAGATGCATCGAAACATTTTTTTACTTACAATCTTGTACAGAAGGCAAAAAAGTCTCCACATCAACTTCATCCTGACTTGCCCTCAATTCATCCTCCTTTTGTTTCTGAAGCTTTTCGAACACACGCAGTTCCCTTATTCTTTGAAGGTCCCATCTATTGAGCACATACACAAACAAAAAAGGATTAGTAGAGACACAAGCAATGAGACAGTTGAATCCCTCTGATCAATCCAACTAGTATCATATTCCGAGCTGAGCTTTTGTACCTCAATACGAAACAATATTTATTTATTTCATCTTTACCCATAGACCTCTCTCAATGAGTAAAAAAGAAAAAAAAAAGTATAAAGGGCAAGAAATGCTAAGCACAAGAATTTTCTATTTACCCATTTAAACAAAAAGATGAATAAAATATCCTAAAATTTTAAATGATATTGTATACATGTAGGTAGCGTAAACACGGCCTCGCGGGCACTCGCGGCCTTCTCACCGCGTGGTATCAGTGAAATCGGGGTAATTCCGATCGCTGTTTCTTCGCTCTTTCGCTATAAAACACCAAATGCCGTACACCTTGTAAGAGTTCAGCTTTTCCTCGTTACAATGGTGTAAGTTGTTTATATGTCCGATTATTAGGAGCTGGAGAATCGCCGGCGAAAGCGAAGCCCCTCGCGGTCGGAATGCGTGGTCGGCCGGTTCAAAAATTGACAGGCGTGCATTCAAATGCTTCGCGGAACGAGCGATGATTAAATACTGTCTCTTCATTGGTTGAGAACTGTAGCGCTTTAAGCGGGCTTTCCCGTGTGATATATTTGGCCTTTGTCGTTTAAATAGAAAGCTTTTAAAAACGCTGTCAAAATGTTTAAAGATCACTTTTTACCCAAAATATGTAAAATACCGGCTTAAAAAAGGTATGAATGAAAAGATCAGTATATTTCTATTAGAATAAAGTAATCAGCTTGGAATTATTTTACATCAATCCTTCTGCGAGACCCAGAAAGCATGTGACCCCGCACGCGGGGTACACTACAGTATAGGCCGACTCGCTCGTCGCGGGGGCGCCGGCGGGGTCAACGCTCTGTGTTTTTGTCGAAATAAAGACAGATCATCGTGTTTGAAGTGATAAAATACATATTTTATAATGATCTCACAGTGCTGAAAAAAATTAGGCTCCATACATTTGTTATAGTGATTGTACTCTGTTAATTTGGAGATGTTTAGTGCACTTGGTACTCTTTTATTGTCTGTCAAACATGGGGTTGCAGCCAGTGACTCTTCTTCTTCTTCTTCTCGATCGCATCACACTTGAAGTCTGGTATCTGTCATAAATTGGGCCGTCCTGCTCAGTTCATCTGTCGGCCCGTATAGCTTCTCTTGCAGCGTCAGTGGGGTTGGCCACGTTTCCTGTCTCAGGGCCCTGTGTGTCTTGCAGTGCTGAAGGATGTGTTCAACAATTTCAGTCTTGTGTGCTGTGTCCTTAGTCTGAAGACAATCACTTGTTCTTGGCGGGACAGCTCATGGAAGTCATCTGGTGTATGAGGTGCTTTAAATAGTGTATTTATAATAGTTTTTATTTCTGTGTAATTAACGCTGTTGTCTGGTTGCTCTTTCTGTGCTCCTAGTTTGGTCATCCTGTCTGCCTGCTCATTTCCTAAGACACCACAGTGTGATGGAATCCACTGCAGCATGATCCTCAGACATGGGATGTCCTCAATTTCTTTTCGTAGCCTTGGTAGTTTGCCAGAAGTGATTGCCTGCAGTACTGACATGGCATCTGTTAGGAACACTACTTAGTTTTGGGGGTCTACCAAATTCTTGATGATGTTTGCTGCATGCAGACATGCCAACCACAGAAAACCAAAACGAGTATTGGGAAATATGAAAATGTGTATTTTCAGGGGAAAATGTGTATTCTCCACGACCGACCGACCGACCGACCAGTAAAATGTTCAGGTGTCCAGCAATATTTCCTGAAAAAATGTACTAGCTCACCAGCTCGAAAAAGGGAGCACACACGCGTACAATAAACATGTATTCAGTCAACAATATGTTAGTGTTCAATGTCGTACTGGGGTTTTGTTTGACTTAAGTATTTCAGTCTGTTATAATATTTTCCTCTCATTATTATTATAAAAAATGAATCCTGTTTTGAGCGTTCGGAAGGGCCTAGAACAAGAACTTCCACTATCAAGAACCAGTCAGGGTGTCATGATTCATATTATGAACTGACAGACTCAAATTATTGCTCAAACTCAGAGAAGAGCAATAACTTGAATGGCTAAAGTAAACCCGTGCACTGTGAGAGTTGTAACAACTGTGGGAGGGCAAGATGCAGTGACAATGAAAATGTGCCCGTCTTGAACAGGAAAGCTACAACATACACAGTACGTATAATTTACTATCACCCATCTAATGACACGCGAACATTTTATTTCAATAACACAGACTTGCAAAGTATGAAAGGTCCCGATTCCTCACACGGCCTGCACTAACGCGCGCTTTGCAAAGAGCTCTAATCAAAATTCTGAAATTTGCGCTTTGCAGAGAGCTCTAATCAAAATTCTGAAATTTGCCTCCAAGTTTTTGCCCTCTGGTGTTGCCTTCACACCTTCTCCCTCCCCCCACCCTCGAGTGTATAAAAAAAACCCAATAATCCCCTCCCGTAGTCCTATACCTGGCAACGCCGTTACTCCCACCAAACACGGTCTTTGCTCACACGATGCCGCATTTACTTATGACGCGAATGCGCGCAGGTTCATTGACCGGTCACGATGGCGAGCCCGACAATCTAAAAATCGGACGATGCTTGTATTTTCTTTTCTTTTTTTCCTACAAGTGACAGCACAGAGACAAGTTCGAGAAATTTTATTTGCACAGCAACACAGCGTTTACCCAGCACAATCTGCATGTCGCAAATAAGTTGTGTTATCAGTCTACCGCAGGCAAACTTTTCGGTGGTAACGAAAGCGAAAGTAGATCTTGATTTTCCCGATCAAGCCTCGGTGTCATATACACTTCCGTCTGCCGCCACAGCCGCCTGTTCGTGTGAAAGTGAAACGTACTCTCGGAGGAGGAAACGCTAAACGAATATAATATCACAATCGTGACTGACAAAAATGAACTTACCTACCTTATCGGATTTGGTTTTCAAATATTCTAGTTCTGCGATACTGATACTATTTTGACAAAAGATGGGACTTGAGATAATTAGGTTTACTCGCCCAAACTGGATCTCGTATTTTTCGCATTCCAGGATGCATATTTTTTCATGAAAAGTTGTATTCGCATACTTTCGGCAAAAAATCGTACTAAAATACGTAAAATCGCACTGGTTGGCATCTCTGCTGCATGTATTAGAGCCTCCGTCTCTGCCCTGTAGTTTGTACAATGTCGCCCTGTTGGGACTGCCTCTGCTTGTCGTCGTCCATTTGGGAATTGTACGTACACTCCGGCTCCTCCTCTTTTCACAGCATCAGTGGCAGATCCTTCTGTATAGATCCTTATCCATGTTTCTCGTGGGTATCTTTGTTCAAGCATGGACAGGGTGAGGGACTTCTTGCTCAGGTCGCTGTGGTCATCTTTTGTTTGTGTTTGTCTTTTCCCATGATGGTGCCTCTGGGGTGTGGTTCAGCATGTTCACTGTGGCTGGTAGATGGTCCTGTAGATATCTTTGGATTTTTCTGCTTTCTCTGATGAAGTTGGACCTTTTTAGTCTTGTGGTGTTTGATCTGGCTGTTCTTGTGTGCAGTATATGATCCTCCGTAGCTGTGGCCTTGGTGTACTGTATGAGGGCCTTGCATTCCCATCTCCTCTTCAGGGCCACTATAGATGTTGTTTGTTCCATCTTTTCTATAGGCGTTGACCTCATTGCTCCAGTGATTATTCGGAGAGCCTGGTTTTACACTTTTTCCAGAGTGACCAGCCAGTGACTGGCTTTAACAAATTTGATCAAATTTTAAACAACTATCATTTTCTTAAAAATTGACTGAGAGGTTAAAGAATGGTACCAAAATGCTCAGTGGATATAGGCCTTTCAAATGGAACAGATAAATTTGGCATACAGCTACTTTGAAAATTTAGTTTCTGGTACCTAATACATGCACATTGTTTGCCCCTTAGCAAAATGTCACTTTAACAACAAAACACTTTCAAACAGAAAAGACAAGTCATGAAGGTGCCAACACACACAAAACTGTCACATAGACAAATACATCAACACGCATGGGAATTTTTAAGTCCCCTCATGGAGAAAAAAACAAACAAACTATGGTGTATCAATAAAACTAACTGATGCACAACAAACCTTTTTCTCCTTTTCTCTTCCATTTCAAATTTTTGATGTCTCTTGTAGTATGCCTCATCTGTAATATTCTGGAGAATATAAAGAAACAACAAAAAAACACACTATAATAAAATACTCGGTGCTTGCACATTTGTGGGAACACTGGCCTTCAAATACAAATATTCTATCATTCCCCTTCAGAGCGTACAACACAATATTTTAAAGATGCTATCCAAATACATTTAAAGAGCTAGAACTGACTAAAACATTATAATAGCAAACAAAAATATCGATAGAATCTATTTGTTAAATTACGAAAGGGAGAAATCAACTTGATGTAACAGTTTTAAGAAGTTCTAGTGGCCAAGTGGTCAGTGAGTTCAGACTCAAAATCATATCAAGTAGAAGTCAGTGACATGGCGCCCAGGTGGGTGGTCACTGGGGTGTGTTCTTGAGCCAGACACAATAACCTTGGCTCAAAAACAGGGCACTTCACAGTGGATGTCAGCAAACACATATTCCTACCATTATCGGTATTTGTGTGATAGTGATGAATTCCTGTAAGTATGAATTGCAATTGCCAGTGTAAACAAATTTCCCCATTGAGATGTATAAAAGTAATATTATATAAAATACTCAAGAGGCGTCAGTTGCCTAGTGGTTAGGCTGCCGGACTCGTAATCGTGAGGCTGCGAGTTCGGGGGTTCAAGCCATGGGCCCGATGTTGTGTCCTTGGGAAACACACTTTACACAAATTTTCCTCACTTCACCCAGGTGAAAATGGGTACCCAGCTATAGACGGTGAAAGATCTTGTCAGTTTGTTAGTGTTTGAGCGCTTAACCAGCTGCTTGCATTGTATGCTTCCCGGGAAGCTGAGAATGTTTCTGAGTGTTCTATGGTCTACTGGGGTAATAATATAGTGTAAAGCGCACAGAGCTTGCTTTCAAGTGGGGACAAGCGCTATAGAGATGCTACTTATTATTATTAGAATTGTATGAATTTTTTTACAAAAACCAATCTGTGGTTCTCGAAGTTTGTCACTTTTCAAGAAAATGGTACCCGGTACCCCAGGTTCTGACATAAGCCCACATTAAAATCATAAAATTCAGTATCCTTATTACCACCTGAGATGTCAACAGATTTCTTTGCAATCTTCACCATCCTCCCATTAGAAACCAATACTTCATTGGCAATCCTGATCTTGAAACTTTTTTTTAAAAAGCAAGATATCTTCAACATCAGTTCTCGTTTTGCAATGACAAGTACATAACATTCATCATTCATTCGTGACCGCATATCATCATCAAAATGGCATGTCCCTCATTACATACTTACACCAACAAACAAGGAAAATGTCTCATTCATAACACAACAACACTTAGTAATTATTTGAACTTGTCAAATTTCTAATTTGTGAGTTTAAAAAACTGTTCAAAGAAAACAAAACTGCTTTAACACATGAAATAAAAGAAAGCAATATCTTCACAAGAGACTCACCTCTGTGCCCTCCAACTGGTACATGTTCGTCAAGGGTTTCAGTCTCCAAGATGGGGTCTCAACTATAGAAGTAAAACACAAGTAAAGTGGATGATAACATTTTCTTAGCAACAAGATACACAAGGACTACACCAAGAACAAGTATGGTGAGAATTAAATATGAAGATGGTGTTACAATCATCTATTTATCATAAAATACTCTTTCAAAAGAAGTCAATTATATTTCTACCTCACACAAGGCCTTGTCAAGGTATTAGTAAGTATTTAGCAAAAAGGACAAAATTTACATCTAAATAAAGTGTTGATGCTTTGTTACATCAACGCCACTTTCAGGACATTTTCACATTGGTCACCTTTATTCTCACCCCGGGTGAGAATAACCCATGTCTCGCTCTTCTCACCCAGGGTGAGAATAACCCATGTCTCGCTCTTCTCACCCAGGGTGAGAATAACCCATGTCTCGCTATTCTCACCCCCCTCCCCTGGTGAGAATAGCTCCCACAGCGCTGTGGGCATGAGGCGAGGACTCCCCCCTGACCTCTCGCAGGACGATAAAATCACCTTAGCCCTTGGTGGCTTACCGCATGCGCATGCAGTTGGGAATAAATAGGCTAATAATAATGTAAAAACATTTTTCACCTCTCCAGTTAAAAAAACAGGCTCACTACCGACACTGAGCGGCATGTGGGGCAGGCCGGACCATTCGTTGTCTTCACATTTAACGATGACTGGCCTCTTTGCACACAATACAATAATACATTGTGGTTCAAGGAACAGAGAGCGTGTACAAACGTAACAAGACACGAGCATGAGACCATGCTATTGCACGACGGTTGAAGGGTTGTAAATTATTCAGACCAAATGGACGAGGGGGTTAAATCGTGTTAACTAGTTTAATCATTTTAAGCAATCAAAGCTCTTTTCTTCACTTTCAGTTTTTTTCTTTTATTCTTTTTTTTTTCTTGCCTCTTCTGTCCCCTTCATCTTCAACATTTGGAGTTTGGAGCCTAAAAAGAGCCAGAGAGTCAAATAAAATTCTACGGGGCAGGCGCGATCCAAGAGAGCCAAATTTCTGGGATTCGGCTCAAATTTGACAACCCTGACTGTGGCTAGATCTAGATGTATGTCTATTCGGACACAAACACGATCCTGTAGAGCATTAGCCCCGGTAACCTCAGCCCTGATCCCTCTTGGGTCATTTCCAGTAAAACAAGGGAGGGGGTGAGAATAGCGAGACATAGGTTATTCTCACCCAGGGTGAGAATAACCACTTCCTTTCACACTACAAGGAGTGGAAAAAACTCAGAAAGGCATAAGAGTGGGTTTTTTTCAGATTATACTCTCTCACTGTTGACTACGCTGACAATGACCTCATTAAGTGACATCAACAGCTGTAATGACATTTGGTATACAACAGATGCTAATTGTAGGACACATACAAAATACAACAGTAGCATCTTTACTTGTTTTTACAAAAAGAAGCACAGAAGAAACCAGACAATCAGATCTACTGATTTCCACTGCATGTCATTCTAAAACAGACATATAACTGTCTGACTTCTATTACCCTTCAGCATACAGTACCACAGAAGATAATCCAGGGATGCCACTCAACTTTATTGAAAACAGCTGAAAAACCACATGCCACGGTCTCGCAAACATATGATGAATATCAATTGGAAACCCAAAGGGTGCTGAGATTAGCGCAAATCTTCCGGGGGGGGGGGGGGGGGGGTTCTCCTCGTTATTTGAACTTATGGCGAAGTCTTCATTTTTCCGTTATTTGAACATTTGACGCAAGTTGTTGAGTGTGTGGGTTATTTAAAAATTCTTTTGTTTTTTTTCCAACTAGGGATTCTATCTCAATCTCAATAACGGAATAGCGGGTCAGGATCAAAATACCGGAAATACTAGAAAAAAGCGGAAAAGAGGCATCCTTGATAATCTGTCAACATATCGTGTAAATTAATTGTACATCACGACCGATACATGTGCTGCCTCAGAAGTAGGAAGCAAGTGTCATCTTTCAGACAATTAAAAGGTAGCCAGTCATGAGTATGTTGCTCCACTTACCGTCCAACTGTGATGGTCTCTCCGGTATAGTGCTGGTATCCACACTTGCGAATACATGTTTTGGGTAATACAGATGATATAATGTTTCAGTCTGCATTATTGGATAATCTATTATTTTCTCCTCTATCTCTGAAACACCAGCATCTTCATCAGACTCATTTTCTTTCTCATTAGAGTCATGGTCAGAATCTGTTTGATCATCTTCCTCATCATCTGAATCAGCAGAAGACCGATTATCATCACTCTCCTCTTTCTCTGAGGCTGTCTCTGCAGGAGATAATTCGAGTTTTCGATGTTTATGTTGTTTCCTTTGGGAAAAGTTTGATTTGGTCCCTCTCCTTTTCCTTTTGAATTCTTTTCTTGACACCTCCGATTTCCTGAAGCAATGAAATAAATAAAAAGAGCTGCCTTCTTGGTGCAAATAGGTTTAAAATGAAGAAAATCATGAGCTGTTAGTAAAACAGTACTAATTCTGACTTTAAAAAGCAATAGTTAAAATATAGACTGGAGTACACTTAAGCGTTCTCTACAGATTACAGCAAACAACTCACCCAACCTAAAAGAAGTTTTAAAATGCAAAAAGAAAATCAGTACAAAATGTGTCATAATCAGGTGCTCAAGAAGTTTGGTCAAGCGCAATCATAGGTGTTATCTTAAAGTTTGTTTATTTGTCTTTCATTCGATTTAAAAATATATACATCTATCTTGAATAGAAGTCGAGATATATTTGCGATCGAAGAAGGTATGGCTTGGGGCTCTCGTGGCTTAGAGGTTAAGGTGTTCGCCTCTCATTCAAAGGTCATGGGTTCGAATCTGGGTAGCGACGGAAAAATGTTCTTCTCTAAAATTGTCTCCTTTCACTTCCTTTCCTGTTCTCTAGCCATATTCTGTTGTCTGCTTTCATCTCCACTTTCTGCCTCCACCCATTACCTCCTTTGCCCCCTCCTCTGGGCTCCTGATACTTTCTACAGCCTTTCTACTGCTTTTCCTTGGCTCCATCTTACTGCTTTCTTTTAGCCACACCTCTGATCTTCTGGTAGGAAAGATCTACACAAAGCCTTCTCGGACAACGGCGAAAAATCTCGAAGGGCCAGTGAGCAAGTTGTGCACGTTAAAGATCCCTTGATGGTCTAAAACCGAAAAGAGTAGGCTTAGGCTGCCAGCCGCGCAAAATACAAAATTTCCTACCAATTGAAAATGTTAGGTGTGTCCCGTGCACTCATATGACCTTATACAGTTGCAAGCGCCATAAAACATCCCCCCACCCCCAAAAGAAAGCGTGGGTTGCCTGATTTCAAAGGTAAAATTAGGAACAAAATGGCCGTTAAACCTTGGCAGTTGCCATAGACTGAGAGTCCTTGGAAACAGAATATGTACATTTTTGTGCCATTAATCAATGTTTTCTGGTAATATCCTCACATAAATGTGGTTTTAAATGGATATAAAAGGTGTTGATCCGAAAAACACAAAAGTCCATAAAAATTGCCAAACCCACAGAAAATTGTTGGTATCTTTTATTTCAGTATTTGGACAAGCACCTGATTTCACCAAGATGTCTCATAAACTTACTTTGTCTGTAAGTCATTCGTATGGTAGCACAGAAAACTAGTTGGAAGTCACAAACACCGCTATTGCAAAATAAAGTGTCATATTAACCTTTTTAACTTTTGATCCAAACAAGATTAAGATTCGGATTAAGCAGATTCTATTGTGATTGTGCATATTTTTCTGATGTTGCGAAATAAACATATTGATTGACCATATATTAGACTTCTATGACAGCATTACTTTTCTAAGTTGATAGCACTAAGTCATCAGACAAACAAAGTCTTAAAAAAAAATATATATCAACAAAATGCTTTTTCATCTCTCAACTCATGATCTCCAACAGTCTGTGCATTTTTCGCATACTACAGACTCACCCCTTAGGAACACTGTTAGAGTGGGTGGATCCACTGACTTTTGCCATCGCATCATCCCCATTCTTGGTAGAAGGACCTTCCTGGGGTTCCTCTCTGTGCTTCAGAATAGACATGCGTCTCTCCATTCGCTCTAATCGACATTGTAGCTGGAATATAAAGAAATTAATGTGATAAAATTCATTATTTCTTACCTAGACCAAAGACAAGCAATCAAAAGGAACGTATTATATTGAAAATTTGGGCAAGGGTACTAAAACAGAATTTTTTACACAAACTGAGACCGAAAGAGAAAAAATAACTTTAAAACGAAATGTTTCATTTCAGTGTCTTTACAAGTTCATTGTAGGACAATACTAATTTTGCATCACTTGCACATAAATTTGAGTTTCTGACAGGGTGAATATAAAAGTAAAAGCCTTCTGTTAGTCTTGAACAAATGACTTCAGCCGTTTCTGAAAGAACTATTGCACTTGATACTTGACTGCAGGTACATGATGAGGAAGCTCTCATTTCTCTCTGCATGCTGATTCTTCTTTTTCTGTGCCTTCCCCTGTTAGACATCAGGGGCAGTCGTCTGCTGGTTCTTCATCTGGCAGTGCAACGGATATCATGTATGAGACCGATTTTCCTACTTCGTTAGGCCCCATGCCCTCAGTTTCAATTTCAAAAGTCTCTATACAATGTATTATTATTTATACTCACGAGAGCATTTTCACTTTTGGAAGGAATTCATTTTGAATTTTGCTCGGGCGGTATCCAAAGCCCACTCTCATCAATTTTAGGACCACAAGGAAACTTTACCAAGCATAACGTGCACTCAAGATGTCTAAGATTTTTTAACCTTATATTATATAAGAATTAAGAAGGCTAGATATTCAATCTTATCTACCTGAAAGAACAAGGGTTCGGTTGAAAAACAGTGAAAAAAAGAGCCAAGAGTAGCTTTTATTTAATCAAAAAGATTTAGGAGTGAGGGAAAGGGAAGCACAGGAGGGCCGGACCAAGGAAAGAGGGAGAAAGTGGAAAAGAGAGCAGAAAATGGGACTAAAGAACAAGAAAGGAAGGACAAAGGAGAAAATTTTAGAGAAAACTTTTTGTCTCTGCAAGTTTTGAGCCCTGAGACTTTAAACCGAAATGACAGGTGAACACTGTATCTTTAGACCACAAGAGCACCAATGCTGATTCTAAAAACTAAAATCTTTTCAGACCTCAAAAATATAGCCAGTACATGTATCACTATCAAATTTATCTAGTTAATGATTCTGTATTCTGTACAGAGTAACAACTGCACAACTACATTCTCTTTTCTACCAGGCCAAGGCCACATCAGTAGTAAATATTATATAATATAAAAATAATTTACCTGCATGAATTTTCCAAATCCAAACAGAAACTTCATGACCACTATCCAACAGTTATGACTGTACTTAAATAAAGTCTCAAAATGACTATTATTCACAAGTTTCAACAACATTTGATGAAGTTTTTTTCCAGAGTTTTCAGCCTCGTTTTTCGAATCTCTGTTCATGTCCAAGTGATCCAGATCCATTCTTCTTTATGAAAATGATGAAAGTAACATCATCACTCAACTGTCATCCCGTCAACATAACACAAGTACCAAATAAACATTTTTATTTCTGTTATCAAATGTAGCATAAATCAGGTTTTTAAATCAACAGATCTATACTAACTACACTTTTATCATAGCATAGCCTGTAGTGTCACAGACCTGTTGACCACAACAAAAAGCCAGCAAAGTTGATAGTTTAGCATTATACTAACACTTTCGTTTTATGACTTTTTTAAACACAACAAATGACAACGTATGCATTAGGAAGCATACAAAAACAGTCAAACTTTGAATAAAATCCATAAACTCCATTACAACTAAAACTGAGGGGCAACAAGTCTTTGAATAAAAGATTAAGATAGATGATGGTTTCAAATTTTTTTCAATCCCACAATTTCTGTCAAAAACTCGAAGAGATAATGCTGTGCTGAACAGACTTAACAAATCTGGGATGGGGGGGAAATCAGGCCCCGATTGATCATATTCAGGCATAGTGTTTATTTGCCATACCATGACAGTATTTCAGCCTGAACTAACTGGATCCATTATTCTTCACCATGATTTTGTTTTCTAACATTCTGCCGACACAAAGGACAAAACACTAACTATACAGATAGATTTCCAGCAATTTTAACTTCAAAGTCGTCTGCTATATATATTTTTTAAAACATCAAACTTTTCAGCTATTTATTAGGCCTACTATAAATAGCAACAGCAAGACAACTGGGTTTTTTTCCATTCCACAGTACAACAATCTTAGATATTACAACATCAAAAGAGGTGATGTTTTGTGATGCAAGGCAGAGCTTTTTACTAGTCCGTTTTTATAAGTTTTTTCTTGTACAATTTGATCGTTTTAGTGTTTAATAAAATAATGTTACGCCTACAAAGGTTGATCTAGTTATGCTACATGTAGCACAGAAGAAGGCCTAGATCTCGACAAAGCAGTCTATCCTATTACGAAGGAAATTTCAAATTGTAATGGGATGTTACTTACTTCTCAGACCACTCGGACATTTAAACACACGACAAGCATAAATACTCAAAAACAGAATTAATTATTCGAAGTGGCTAGCCGAGACTGCCAGTCTAGCCGTACTTAGATCTAGGTTTGGCCCTATCGACTCAAGCCTGTTAAGTACACAGGTCTCATTAGATTCTAGATCTAGTAATTATTCAGGTTCAAATACATGCAAGTCAGTAAGGCACCTTTTGGTTTTGTCTGAAATACAAATACTTTAGGCATTGCAAACTAAAAATTTCATTTACAATTCAGCCATCAAAGTACGGCTAGCCTGACAGTCTAGCCGTCCTTAAGTACGGCTAGCCTGGCTGTCTACCCATAATTAAGTACGGCTAGACAAGAAGTCTAGCCGTACTTATCTTAGGCCCTATTAACATTAGAAAACAGGAGGTTTAAAATACATGGACTGTCATTAAGGCACCTGGTTTCGTCTCAAATACAAATACTTTAGGTACTGCACACTAAAAATTCATATTTACTATATTCAGTAGGCCTATTTTTTTTCATTGGTCAGTCTAGCCATCATATTTAGAATAAGTACGGCTAGCCATCCAGTCTAGCCGTACTAAAAGTGCGGCTAGACTGCCACCGTCATTAAGTACGGCTAGCCTCTTCCTTAAATATTTTGTGGAAGGGGACAACAAAACCTCATTATTTAAGATAAAAGTGCACAGTTTTATAAGTCAAATGTAATAATATGGCCAGATGTATTTTTGTAAGCTCACACAAATACAATATATCAAAACAATGAGACCAGATTGTGTGACAAGTTAACAAGCAAGCCAGTTTGCCATTTTCTTTCCTTTGGAATTGCTTTTTATTAGGGAAATTTACCAATGTTTACCAATTCGAAGTGACTATTCGGACTCGAGTCCGAATATTAAAAAAATGTTATTCGGACTCTGATTCTTGTCCAGCATGACATCACTTCCGACTTCCTGTGACTCGTGACTCCGGCTTCCGGTCCTGCCTCAAGCTGGGTAGAGACCGCGATCACTTCGGGCAAAAAGGCGTTTTGTGCAGGAGCCGAGTTTTTATCTTATGATGAATTTGAGGGCGGGCTGAAAAGTTATAGCAGTTCTAATAAATGTTTATTGTCAAGAGGTCATCAGAAGCATTTAAAGATGGCTCGTTAGCGTGTGTCGGGGTCGGATGGGAGGCCTGCACACGTGTAGCTGTGTGCGTGTCAAGGAGGGGGTTGGGGGGGCACTATCGGTCCGGGCGTTGAACGTCGCATACGCGTCAGTCTTTTTCCCCCTGGCAACTAATCATTATTACAATAATAAGCTAATCTTGACGTAGATCTACGTAATGAATTGTGCGCTGGTCTATGGAATCAAAAGTTGCCGTATGCTCAGCTCTACACAGCAACACAACTTTTTCTTGGTAAACAATCGAAATGACACAGGCTTGTGTATTTGAACGAATCGGTCTTTTTTTTTTTAACAGCTCATAATATCAGGTGCCAGGTGGTCTGCTAATCTTCAATTTTACCATTTTCTTCAACAAAAAAAGTGGGAAACATGGGGGGGGGGGGGGGGCGTATCAATGAGGCGGCGGGCATTGGATCGGCAGAAAAAGTGTGGGGGGAAACTAAAAAATGGCGGAAAATTGGAAGCACTGAACGATAGACCTATAGAACGAAGACACTTCCTTTTTCCAGACCCGAGCCCGAATAACATTTTTTTATATTCGGACTCGAATCCGAATAAGAATTTTTTTTATTCGGACTCGAGTCCGAATTATAATGAAAAAATGTTATTCGGACTCGAGTCCGAATAACCACGGCCTTACCAATTCAATACAACCCATATTGATTATAAATCAACAAACTTAAGATTTTCCAATCAAAAGAAGAAAAAGAAAATTGAATAAAAATGAAGGTCTCCATCTAGACCTACCCATCCAGAGTTCATCCAGTTTCACACAGCCCGAATCGCGTTCCCATTCACCCCCTCCCATCCCTACCATGTCTAGCCCTCGCCCATCCTCTTGGCTTTGGGGCCCGTGAATATTAGGAGGCACACTAGATCCTGCAATACAATGTCTTAGGAATCGAGGATGGGCCTTGTGCTTCGCGCGAGATGGAGAGAAAGGAGAAAAATTCTTCGCTTTTGGGGCCGCTAATTGCTTTTATTTGGTTATCGCTGAAAGCGACTTCGGTCTGTTTGCAACCTCGTTGGAGCTGATATAGAGGACAAAAACGAGGATTAAGGATTGCCTCGTTGGAGCCGACTTCTCGTTCAATGTGACCTCGTTGAATGTGACACCCACTGTACTTGTACACTACAGGCTACAGGCCTTTTAGTTTTACAGACTTTAGACACCTTAGACTTGAAAACTAGATAGTTGACCTACTAAGTACTAGACTAGATTGAGCAACAGTGTCATGAGAGAGAAAACAAATGTAAGAACAAGCCAAATTAATACTGGAAAAGATTGAACTTTGGTGGACCCAACTCAGAACGAAGCCGCAACTTAAACTACTTTTGAGCCTAGCTTTGCAATGAATGGTCCACTCTTATGTTATTGTTTAGCATTTATGTGAGTGGTTTTTTATTATTATTATTGTTTCCAGGGGCCCTGAAACCTCCCACTAACAGGGGGGCAAGCCCGCCTGAAACCCCCCACTATTCAATATTGTATGGCTAGTGTACATTGATACATATGATATGTATACATGTAAACACAGTCGGACTGTCAGTTTGCTAGATCAGATCTAAATGAATTTCCAGTGATTTAGAAAAGAAAAGTTGAAGTTAAAGCCAAGTTTAAAATTGAAACCCACAGAAAATCAAAATGAAACAGTTCGAAAACTATTACTATTTATTATAATAACTAAGCGAAAAACTATATTAAACTAGATCTAGGATGCTATCTGCTATCATGCAGTAAACCAGCAGAGTAGAGTGCAGCCTGCAGCTTGTGAAATGCACCAAGTGAATACAACAACACAGGCCAAGCAGGAAAGTTAGTTTCATAATCATCACATCCTTCCATTTTCACATTTTGTTACACACAATTTCTTGGCAAAAGCCTGCCTGACCATGCCATAAAGGTTAGGTGTACCGTGTAGCAATGGTATGCCAAGACTTAGTTCTAGATCTAGATCTAGTTGATCTAAATCTAACACCAAAATAAAAGACTGAGGGGAATTGCTATTAATTGCTTGAAAACCCAAGAGAAGGTATTTTCAACTTATGACAAAAGTACAAAGAAAATTGACAAAGTAAGAGCAGTAGGAGAGTAGATCTAGAATCTAGGCTTTGACAGAACAAGGTAGGTAAGTCAAAAAAATTCAGTACAATTACGATCTCCATGTTCTCCTAAAGCTACATGACCAGAGACAAATGCACATGACTTCTTTGTTCATTAGGCTATCCATAGCGTGTCAAAACGAAGCTATGACCGCGGCGTCCATAGTCCATGGATCGTGGATTTTGTCAACACAAGCAGAGGCAGCACTTTTCTTTCTAAACAAAAATACTGTGTGATTCCTCAGTAAATGAACGAGTCTCCTTTCCTCCAAAAGCTCCTTGAAGTATACTAAGATCATGCCAGTCACTGTAGAAGTAGTTAAGATGAGAGGCTATGTTTACAACTAGGCCTAAACCATGAATCTCTGTCCATCCCATCGATAGTTGGCACGAAAGTGCGATAGGCTAGCCCGACTCTCCACTGTGACTGACTACTGACGCCAAACGCACTCCGCATCGAGGCACCGTCATTACATTTTTAGTGTTCCACATGACACACTCGTCACGTGACCCCAAGTTAAAAATAACCAAGACCTTCAAATGGAAAATTCTGGCTCCATACCATCACTTTTCAACCTCTTATTAAACGATTCATGAATACTCACTGCGTCTTTTCCAGTGATTAAAGCTTGAATTTCCTTATCCTTCTTGATCAGTTCATCCTGTTGACATTGAATGAGCTCTGCTTGAGTCAGTAGCAGATCTTTTAAACGACCCACTTCCTCGGCTGCCCAATCGCTCGAAGTTGCTGCAGAAGCCATTGGCACTGCGGAAACAGCTTTGTTGAGGGTTCGCGACTGCTCTGTCCCATTGTTTGAAACACTACCTGACTCACACTTGTCTTCTTTATCACTGTGTGCATGAGAATTCAACATGGTGGTCTGTTTTACTTCATCCTCTTTCTCTTTGGCATACTTTAAACTTTCTTGAATCGCTAATGACAGTTCCATATCAAAGTCCCCTACGCCATTCAAAAGAAGGGATTTCGAAGCAACTTTCCGCCTCGGAAATAATCTGCCCTCTGGGCGACACTTTGGTTGAACGCCAATATTAGACTTCATAGTAGAACGTTTCATTTATATCAACTAGAGTGGCTAAGCAAGTACACAGAAATCCAACACACATTCAAATTTTCGGCAGTAACAGCATCTCAGATTTGGACTGAACTCGTTTGAGTTGTTGCTATTATTTTTCATGTGCCCGTCTTCCTTCTCCTAGATCACTGAAGAGTTCTCATAGATCTAGATCTATGGCCTTTTGCCTAGCCTAGGCTAGGCCTTGTTGAAAACGAAGCAAAAGACAGTTGCGGGCTTGGCAAACACGTTCGTTTACCATGCCAAAAAGGAAAAAAACATATTTATTGTGTTAGAAAATTAAAAACGTATACCTTGCTCACTTTTGTATGTCCATATTTGAAAAGAATTTGCTCATTTATTAATATGCCAATGCACATGAAACGCTGAGTGGCATTCAAGTAGACTGGCGACCATCTAGATCTAATTAACGTCGAGATTCCACAGTCGAACAGGCCTCAAATTATAAATGCAGAGGGAAATACATATACAATTCTTATTATAATATAATAAACGTATATGGTCATTAGGACAAGTGCATCGCTAAACTCTTCTTTTTTTTGGGTAAGTGTTTTAAGACGCTCACAACTGCATACGGATACATGAGCGCGTGGGACACATTAAACTTTTTCAGTTGGTGAGTTGGTGGGGAATTTTGAATTTTGCCCGGGTGACGCCGAAGCCTGCTCTTATCAAATTTAGACCACCAAGGGATCTTTAACCTGCGCAATAGACAGTGAACGATCTTGTCAATTTGATAGTGTTGGAGCGCGTGAAATCCGCAGTTTGCACTGAATGCCGTATGCTATTTATTCTGAGTGTTTTCAGGGGGTCTGCTGGGGTAATAATAGATATCTAGTCTAGTTGTAAAGCGCATAGAGCATGCTCTTAAGCATGGATATGCGCTATATAAATGCAATCATTATTAGATCTATCATTAACTTTGCACACAGGCCCTCCGAGATTTTTCGCCCTTGTCCGAGGAGACTAGGTGTAGATCTTTCCTACCAGAAGATAAGGGGTACGCAGCCGAAAGACAGCAGTAAGATGTAAAGAACGCCATGGTAGTGTAGCAATAGCCTGCTAGCTTGCAGTGCAGAAAGAGTCAGGAGCCCAGAGGCGGGGGCAAAGGAGGAGACGAAAGCAGACCACAGAACATTGCAAGAGAGCAGTAAAGGAGGTGAAAGGAGACAATGCTAAACTCTCCATATCGCACAGTCTAAATTAATTATCTTTTAAACCAGGGGTCTTTGTCTAGAGCTCGCGATCCGTTAACCAGTTGGCACCTCGCGCAGGTCGATACAATTTGATATATCTTATTACATGTATTTGGAATCAAAGTTTAGGTTTAGCCTAGTACTATTGGTGCGTTTTTCTCACGTGCATCTTTTTGCCGGGGTGTTGCCCTGGGGTTGGGTTGTTTTGGGTTTTTTTTTGGAGAGGGGGGTCTTTCTTTTTAAATAAATTTATGGGGAACCATAGTACCGCTCAAGTTCTGTCTGCTACACAGAATTCTATACTTAGTGTAGAATTCTGTGGTCTGCTATTATAACTATGATTGAGACGAGAACATAGATTATAGCCTGCTTCAAATTCGCCTATCCGTGTGATCTTTGAAAAAAATATTGCTCATGTATTAATTTGCCAATGCGCACATAACTTTGCATGACACTGACACTCCTGTAGGCCAGTGCGACCAGACAATTATTATTTTTTAAAATATTCATTCAGTGATTTTGAATTTTTTGTTTAGAAAATATTGATTTAGTAATTTTGTTTTAGTTTAAGTTTCTTTATTTTGGGCCTTATATTAAACGCCGCCCATTGCCATGGGTACATTGACAGGATCACTACCAAACAATAATAAATTATTTACAGCCAACCTAACCTGCAAATTGCTCATTTTGAGACAGCGACACCACTCGGCTCCCACGTTCGTTGCGAGCTTCCAGATTTGTCGATTATCCTACTGTTAGATCCGCGCACCAAAACCTACGAAAATTGAACAGACTGTTGTTGTTGCTTTGTTGTTGTTTTTGTTGTTGTTGTTTTGGG